GGATTTTAGTCTGTCACCCTAAAGATTCTCCAATTCTACACGCAATAAAGTATATTTCCCTATTTATTTGCACTTAATTCTATGAACGAAATTCTCCTTCATGGAATCAAATGTGATCATCACTCTGTTGTGGAACTCATACTCAATTTCTTGGATAATATGTTTCACAATATATTTTGACAATTCAATTGGCTAGATCAAAAAGTAAATTAAGTTTGGAGTTGAAAAATCATCACAATTTATTTTATATTTTAATATTGGCACATCCATATTATCTCTTCATTTCACCATATCTCAGAGTAGGGAGAAAGATAAAGTAAACTACTAAAACTTCATGAGAAAGATAGAATAAAACACAAATTTCATATATAAAAGAAAGTTCATACAACACTAATAAACAAACAACACTTATTTGAAACTCTTTCTCAAAGAAAATTCCTTATAGCCTCTTCTAGGAAATGAAGGAAGAAGAAATCTCTCACTTTTCTCCTTCTCCAACACTCTTAGAGAAGAGTTCACACTTAATCTCACCGTAAAACTCTAAATTATAAGAACAATGGACTCTAAATGGTTGTGGAATGAAAAGTAAAAGAATGTGATGCGTAGAAGGTTGAATTGGGGTGATGAGATGTCAGGAAGAGTCACTTTTCTGATCAATTTTGGCCCTAAATAAAGCCTAGAGTCGGTTCTCCAATAAGTGCCTCCAAAAACTCTTCAAAAAGCATCTAAATTAATAAAATCTTCTAGAAACATGGGTTGAACCGACATTGGCATCGTCGGTGCCAGTGTTCCGCAAGTTAATTTGCTGCTCTCTGTCAAACGATGCCGTCAGCGTTGAACATATTTTCAACATCTTCATTTTTGCTCCAAATTTTATTCTTTTTTGCTTCAAGTCCTAAAATTCAACAATCTTTAAGAAAACATAAAAATATCTTCCACTAAAGTGTAATATCACTAAAAATGAGTATAAAATATGGGTCTAAAAATGCTAATATGTTTGGTGTATCACGGGGAAACAAAGAAGGTCGTGCCTAAGCGCCAGAGGCCCCGCGCTTAAGCACCAGAGGCAGTTATTTGGCAGTTTTCTTCATTCGGCCAAATTTTGAAGAGACATTTGAGGCACATGTTGGCTAAAGAGGGTGGTTATGACCACTAAGGTTATGACCACTAATTATGACCACTAAGAACAAAAATATTATTAAAAGGCTTGTGAAAGGATGCATCCCTTGGAGAATACATCGAATTTGGACATATTTTAAAGAATTTCCTAGGCACCTCTTGAAGAGTTATATGAGAAGGAAGTTGAGACATTTTTAGGGGTGCTTGAAGAGTGAGAGAGTGGTGAGTCCTGAGAAGATTTTGGAGAATCTTGTGGAGAGATTTAGGGAGAGATTCAGGCACCACCTTGTGGAGAGATTTAGGCACCACAAAATTTACTTTTTTTCCTTTTTGTTTTTAGTTTTATTTTGAGAGTTTAGAGTGTTGTAAAAGAGAAGAAATTCAAAGAAACTTCAAGAGTTTGGTGGAGGATTTGAGATAAATTTTTATCTTTTGTTTTGAACTACTTCTGATTTTAATTGAGATTTATTGTTGGTTTGACAATGATTTCTACTTGTAAACTAAAGTGTGGTTTTGTTTTCTGTAGTTTTCTTTATCTTTTTTCTTTATCTTTTTTCTTAAAATTATAAGTAATTAAAGTGTTGGATGGAAGTTGTAGAGAGTATTAGGTTGTCGCGGCCCTCTCGTCGTTTGGCTCGTTTGGCTCGCAGCTTCGCAGCGGAAGAAATCTGAAAAGGGCGGAAAGCGGGAAGCGGGATCGACCCCACAGTCCCAGCTTTCCCCTCGGCAAATACTATTTTTCCCTTGGCTATCGCCTATGTCCCGCGCCGTCTTGCCATCTCGTGTCGTCGACCCTGGTTTCTTCTTTCCCTGTCAGGGCCAAATCTAGGGAGCACAAGGGCCGAATCCAGGGAGCACGAGGCAGGTAACCACTTTTTTCCATTTTCCTTCGGTTCCACTCGTTCCCTTCTGGTACAGTGTAATCGCAAAATTTCGTTCAATCTGCGTTACCTCCCTCCATAGCCGATGGAAAATCTCACATCTTGTTTTCGTAACATTTACCCTTTGACGAAGATCGGGATGCATGAAACTAAATTTCTGAGAGTTATTACCGCAAAGGTTGTGCCTTTTTTTTTCTCAGATGGGACTTGGCATCCCTCCATCTCCTCTCGGTTCTCTCACTTCTCCTAATCTCACTTTTAAATTATGTCTGACACTCCTTATACTAATTCTAGACTAGTAAACAAACTCATCGTTACTTTATTTGAGTTTCTCGCTTCTTCTCTGTGTTCTTAGTTGGCAAATGTTTCCCGACACAGCAAAACTTAAAAAACCTTGGCTTAGATGCTGGAATTAGAAGCTTTATGGAGAATTTTAAATTCATTTAATTGTTAAAGCTCTGACAAATAATCGTTTTTATTTTCTTTACAGAAGAAAGCTTACATTATGTATTGATCTGAATGGAGAGTTTCTATTTTCGTTGCTTTGAATCTTGAACTTACTGTATTCATTTTTTATTTGCTTTTCTTTCTTGTTTACTTCTTCTCTATGTTTCATTTTTCAAGTAAAAGTGATAATTCTATATCGTATAAGTTGGTCTTATTAGAATATATCTTATTTTAACATAAATGCTACCCAATTCCAATGTATTTGCATACCTAACACCTAAAATTTACTTTTTTTACTTTTATGTTACACTAATCTTTCATACCACTTTTTTTACTTTCCATGTTGCAAGCTTTGGTTCACTTGCCAATTAGAAGAAAAAAAACTTGTGTTTGTAGCTCTATCTTTGTCCTCAAGTTTTTTACTATTTAGAGCCTTCAAATGTCTGCAATGTGTCAATCAAGTTAGCATGATGTAAAGAAAACATGAATTACTTTTTTAGGAGAAAAGATGATGTTTCTAAGAAAAAAGAAATCTTACAATTCATAATTGAGTAGCTTTGTACAAATAAGGTGGTTTTAATGAATTTCTACGCTGATGTTTGATCTAGTTTCTCTTTCGTGTTTTTAAGATAATACTTGGTATTTGCTTGTGAGAAATCCTGATATCCTGATTCCTGCAGCATTTATTGTTAAAATACTTGAGGTGATGTACACTTAAAAATTGAAGTTTACATGATAAATATGTAAACTAAATAGGAATTGTGTTCTGCATGTAAACCTTCATTAATTAAATACCTCAATGGAATTATTTGAAAATTTTAAAAGCCATGTTTTCTCTGGTACTGGTTTGTCAAGCCATGTTTTCTCTATTATTCGATGGTGGTAAGCCAAAAATGGGTCAAATTTGTTTACCCAAAAGTTGTTTTTTATTGCTTTAACTTCAAATTTTTTTCATACAGCCATCTTGCTCATGCATAAAAAGGTGTACTTGACTTTTTAAAAGTTAGATTAATGGTATTCTTTATGTGATAAGAAGGATATGGTTGGTATTAATATATAAAAAAATCAAACTTTGGTGTTAGATATGTAAACACATTAAACACATAGGAATTGGGGAATTGGGTGGCATGTTATACATAATTACTATCCATATGATTTCAAATTCCGAAGAAACTAGTTCAACTAACTTGGGATCCATATATGCTAAAACTTGTTTTTGATATGAGCTATTTTTTTAAAGGACAATTTTCTTTTCTCCTCTTTCTATGCATTGTACATAATAAGAGATTTTATTCTAAGGTTGTTGACATCGTTTAGATTCATTATAACTCAAATCTCTAACTGTTGTATTTCATGACTTTGTTTTGTTATAGTAATAACATGGATAGTAAGCCTAAAGAGGTTGCTACACCCGCATTGTGGGAAAAAGATACAAAAATAATATTTTGTGATCTTTTTATTAAAGAGATTGAATAGGGAAATAGGCCAACGACCCATTTCAATAAAGAAGGGTGGCAAAATATTATAAAAAATTTTAAGGAATGTACAAGCTGGGAATATGACAGGTTGCAAATGAAGAACAAGTGGGACCAAATGAAGAAGGAATGGAAAATTTGGAAGGAATTAAAAAGGAGTTCTACCAGTCTTGGTTGGGATTCAGTGAAGCGAACAATTGATGCACCTGAGGAATGGTGGGCTGAAAGGCTTGCGGTGAGCTTTGTTTGTAAACTGCTTTATTTTGTAACCTTATATTTTATTCTAATTTGGTGTTTGTCAATTTCTGTGTTGGTGGTGCCTGCTGCAAAGAAGTTTAAGCTTTCAGGAATTGAGCTTAAATTGGACGAGAAACTCGACCGCATGTTTGAGGGAGTGGTTGCAACGGGGAACTATGCATGTAGCCCATGCGAGACAGGGTTCGCTGGCAAAGCCGTGAATCTGGGAACCGCTGGAGGTTCAGATGATTTCATTGACGTCCCCAGCCCAGATCAAAACGAATATAAAACAATTTCCCGTTCCAAACGTCCGAGGGTTGTTGATAAAAGAAAATATGGTGCTTCTTTCCTCAGAAACAAACTATCTGAGGTGGTTTCTTGTTTCAAAGCAGAATGTCAGACTTCTCATTCAAGCACTATCGCGGAGGCATTTGAAATCCTAAGTGCTACAACCAAAATTTATGCAGATGAAGAGTTGTATCTGTTCGCAGCAGAATCGCTAGAGGAACCGGTCCGTAGGGTTTTCTTTGTGCAGATACCTGCCGCCCGCAGAGTGACATATATTCGGCGTTAAAAAATATATGTGGATTCGTTATTATTGAATATCATTAAAAAATGCTGAAATTGTATTTATTAGTTGAATTTTATAATTTGAGAATTCTTTATGATTATGCAATAATGCTGAAATTGTATGTGGATGGACATTCGTCGTTCTATAGTGACCTATTCTAGTTTTCTCGAGGAATGGTAATGGTGCAGCTTGAATGATCTATGACTTTATTCGTGACAGGTGCATCATTTTGTTGTTGGTAGCAGATATGTGCATGAATCTTCGTTTTGATGGAACCAAGTTAATCTGAGTCTCAATTCTCCCATTTTCATTTGGTTTTTCTTTATATTGTTGCAAGTTGTAGATTTCTACTCTTCTAATGCATTGGTGAGGGGTAGGTTTCAGTGAATTGTGGTTCTTCAACGATTTGGTTAGAAGATCGAAGCTAAGCTGAAAATCCATGGGAGGTGCTCCATAATTTTGGACGAATGTGTAAAGTTGCAGATTTTCCTGATTTTATCATGTGTCTACATGTGTAACACCTGGATTTGATTATATATGTGTTGATTTTCTATTTTTTCAATATTAGTGTGCAGATTTTCTGATTTTAATTTATATTTACATACATACTACCTTACATATGCATGGAATTGTGTATTTTATTTTTTTCTCAAGTTGAATTAGTGGCATACAAGAATCCTTCCACAGGAAAAATATTACATCAGTATTACGCACATAGAGTAATGTGTGTAGCCAATGAAATCACGCCACGATACCACGCGCGACAGAGAAAAAAAATGGCGCAGTAATACGGGGAATATTCCCTCAGTGTTATTCATGTGTTATTGTGTGTTATTCATGTGTTATTGTGTCCTGAGAGTATTCCTGATGTTATAATAACACAATAACACATGAATAACATTGGGAGAATATTCCCCCGTATTACTGGGCCATTTTTTTCTCTATCGGGAATATTCCCCGTGTTATTTAGGTGTTATTGTGCGTTATTCATGTGTTATTGTGTTCTGAGAATATTTTTGGTGTTATAATAACACAATAACACATCAATAATATATGAATAACACACAATAATATATGAATAACACACAATAATATA